AAAAAAAGACATGATTAATGTCTATGCATGTTAACCAACCTTTTAGATAAACCTTTTATCACCTAGAAATAGAAGGAATGAGTGAAAATTTAACTAAGAGGTCAGAGTTTTATAATGTTTCAGTAGAGTGTGGATATCACATTTTCTCATGATAGAAATGATATGAACAACTTCTTTCCAATTGAAGAGGCTGAATATGATGGCTCTCTAAATATTAAATTGCTAACTACTTCATATGACTCAACATTATACTATCGTATATGTTCTTTTCTTGAAGAGAATGACACACACACACACTGTGGATATATTTCTACGTCAAGTCTGTTATAGAATGTTTGGACCTCTTTTTGAAGTACAGAATAACCGTCATTTTGTTACATTCTATTCTTTCCTCTATTTTTTTCCCTTTTCGAACATAAATAATGAGGTAAACAAGCCTTATTTAATTCATATGTAGTTTTGTCACGAACTGCTGATATTACCACGTTCGAAAGTTCCATCTAAATAAATTAATCGTTCGAATACACTGTTTTTCAAAGCCTCTCTGAAGGTCACGGTGAATGAACATGAACAGACGACTTTTCAGGAGAATGAGTAATCATTCATTTTTTGTGGTGTTTGATCATTCATGTAAAATAATATGCAATATCTGACAGCACCACTCATTTTTCGTATGCCCCACTACATTCACTAGAATTGTTACTTTCTGAGTAGACTGCTACCGAATTATAACTTCAAGTGGAAAAAAATGAAAAATAATTTCCATATCATTAAGTATGTCAAGAATGCCAAAATAAACCTCCTTTCCCAGTAATAACACCGATTATGAATGGTTACCAGACATAGTTTCATCATGTTAGTATGCGAGATTGAGGGAAATGATGTTATAGCCACATTTTAGTATAACATCATGATTTATAACAATAACATATTTTATAGTATTTATGAAAATTACCACTCAATATAATACAGTTCTGTGTATCACACTGCATAACAAGAAATAAGAAGTTTTTATAATAGTTTCACCATAAAGTGCAAAGAAAGAAAAATTGCTTCACTGGTTAGTCTTCATTCGTGCATACATGATTACTACCCACTTGGTATTTGCCAACTTTCATCAATTTTTTTCCGCCGCACAAGTGACGTCTAACTACCCATTACAAGACGTGGATACTGTGCTACACTCCGTGCTGTCCTACTTTATGACTGTCAAACATATCAGTTGAAAGTAAGAGATATGGGTAGATCGGTCGTTTTCGACCATTAGTTTGTGAACGCGACCATAAGACATGTTTCGTGTATACAGCGCTACCGCCTTCGAAATAGTTTTATCAGATCAAAACATGCCACCAAATTATAAATTCGTTAACTGTTGGTTTGAGTCACGTAGGGCGGGGTAAACTATGTGGCTGACGTACTCTGGTCGCTGAGAATCAATGAAAAGAGGCCATTTATGACGTGACTCAAAATCGTCTGCATAGGTGCAGGTGTGTTCTCCCCTTTTCTACCATCCCTTACATTTTTCTCCACTGTATTTCTACTACATTTCTTTGCTCTATTTTTGTGTTTATTCTACGAGGTGTGACAATTTGAAATGATACACTTTGTTTATGCTGAAGCCTGTGTTAAAATATCAATCAACAGACATGTTTAACGGTTTGAAACATATTTGTCAGATAAATGAAAAATGTTCAAGGAAATGACTACGTACCGTTACTTTTTTTGGAAGCAGGAAGCTAAAACATGCTTCGTCTTTCCTGCACAGTTTATAACAATTATTCACTGAATTTCGATATCTCTTCTTTACGTACCAATCTCTTTTTCTTTTTACATCATCTTTCATAATTTCCCACCTCATAAATTTGCATTTCATACCCTTTTTATTACAAAGTGCACATGGACCACACGGAAAACTCAGTGGTTGGGCATCATACATAAAATATCGACTGATGAATAAGAAGATTACGAGATAGATACGGATGACGCTCATCTTTTCAATTAAATTTGAGGATTTATAATTATATTCATATATATATATATATATATATATATATATATATAATGAGAAAGTTCACACAGTAAACAAACAGGCAAAATACTCAGCAGGAAAAGGTAAGTCTTCTTACTTCTTCACTCTTTTATGATGCTGCCACAAGGAATAAAATGGGAAACGGAAAAACAAAGGCTTAAATGAAGAAGGCAGTTCAGTTATTTACATGTTTTCATTATGTTTACGAAGAGTTTCGCTTAAATCTTGTTTATTCATTTCATTTGAGGACTATTCACAAATAAAATGACTAGGTATTTTCATGATATTTTTCAAAATGTTATTCATTGACTAACCAAAGAAGTAAAGCAACAATAAAACAGGCGAACAGGTGGTTAAGCAATTAAGTATTAAATTAGCTAGAGACACTAAATTTTTTTTAGTTTAGCATGTCTCAGGATAACGACAATGTTTTTGTTTTCGTTAATTTTTGTTGATTTGAACTTTCATACTTTTGTAGCGGTAAATAATTCCACAAAATTAGTTGACTACAGATTTTATATTTTAACACTGGGTGCTGAATTTCACTATTTTAGTAGACTGGTTAGGCGGTCAAGCATCCATGCCATTTGACACGCTGTCGTGTCAATTACAGTTGTTCATGCACTCACACTAGCTAGCTAGGTAAACATCAGCGCTCTGCATTTCTGGTCCAGAAATATATTTTGTATTTAAGACGATCAGTCTGTTGTTTCGATTTGATTCCTGAACAGTTGTCTGGTCTAAGTAGGACCAGTACATTGGCAGTTGGAAGATATACACCTGCATATGCATACAGTGTATCTTGCGTACCCGTAGACATCCTTCTACTACTGAACTTTTTTATTATTAATCTTACTAGAACAAGTAACGAGTTGATTTGTTTCAGTGATAGACAACATTTTCTTTACAATTAGGAGAATAATTTAACTTATTTAGATTTAAATGTTCTATTCACGAAACTTTCATTGTCATTATAGACAACAAAACACAAACTGAGAAATCATTACCAGTTACAAAGAAATATCGTTCAAAAATTGTCTCACGGAACCTGAATAATCAGTCGAAAACTGCAGCTTTATTATCAGAGTATATCAAAGTCACTGTAGCTCAAAAACTAATAAGATTTATTCATTCTATACTGTACACACAAAGGACATAGTGACAAAGGGATACAACCTTTTTGTATCTTCCGCTTCCAATGACCGTGTCTCACAATCATAAAGAAGGACAGAGCGAACTACTAAGCAGCACACACGTCTTTAATCGATAGTTGGATATAACGTCTACTCCAGAGATGACGTAGATTGACAAATGCCATAACAGTCTATTGTATCCAAGCTGCGGTTTCGTCAGCAATCAGTCCATCGAAGCTGATGCCACTTGCCAAATAAGTGAAGTGGTCAACACGTTCAACCACTCCACTATTTATAAGTCGATGCAGACCAGTCCTGGAGCATCAATATACATCTGTGGAGTCCTAAACAATAAATTTGGACAACCCGCCAAATATCCAAAATGGAACATTGTACATAACTTTTGTTCAGTCGACTTCTTTGTAAAATATCTATAACTTTCGTGTTTGAATGAAACTGTGCTATAGCTGTGCTGTCCGTCGCTTCGTCTTCTCACTCGTTTCTACTGTCTACTTGCTCCACTAATCCCTGTGATGCATTCTTTGAAAATTACACGAACTTCTCATCCTCGTCCAAAGACTATTCAACAACCGGTGAACAACTTCTATCAGTGGACACAACCCAGCAGTGAATCGTATCTGTGAAGTATATTGTTAATTTGTAGCAGTGGATTATAACTATATTACCAAGTAACCATTGTTCTTTCTAACTCATTTATCTGTATATCTATAATATACTGTCTCAGTATTCTTTATTGACTTGGATTATTATTCTGATATTTCGTACATTTGTCGAGCTCATTGTTTAGTCCCCTACGCATCTGACAGGGGCGAATCTCATGCCCAACATTCGAAGATTTCTGTTCGAGGTGTCCAAAAAACTGCTTGAGAGACTGTAGAACGACTAAAATCTTTAAATGCTAAATTATTACATGCTATACATTGGCGAGGATAAGAAAGCGAGCAAGCTTTCATTACTCTCAAGTCTGTGTGGAGATCAGCAGCACTCAACATGAAAAATAAGATCCGGATTTTCAACTCCTATGTGAAGTCCGTGCTACTATACGGATCAGATACTTAGCGCCGCGTCACGAAGGCCACTTCGAACAAACTAAGGACTTTCACCAACAGCTGTCTTCGCGCAACACTACTCAAGATCAGATGGTCGGTCAGAAAAGATCAGAAACAGGGATCTCTGGGAGCGAACCAACCAGGAACCGATTGTGCAACAAATAAGCAGGGAGAAATGGAGGTGGATTGGCCATACCCTGAGAAAACCATGAAGTGACATAACACGCCAGACTCTCTCTCTCTCAAGTGGAACCCGAACGGGAAACGGCGAGTTGGTCGTCACTGGGAGGGTGACACGGAGGAGATGAAAGCATGTGGGCAGACGTGAAGCCAGGTGAGAACGTTGGCAGAGAAGCGAACGCAATGGAGACGTGCGGCTGAAGCCCTATGTTCCTCTAGGAATTAAAGGAAATAATAATAATAATGAACCCTTCGAAATCCGATAGTTTCTACCTTTTATTATTTTATTCAACAGGTCAAAACTTATATCTCTGTAAATCTTGGTGTGTAATTTGATGACTAGTCACACATGGGTCAAAGTTGTACATTTTAATTTTGTTTTAATGCGATCTACTTACATTGAACTGCAGTATTTTAAGTCTTTTGATCAGTCCAGCCACAAATTTATTTTTTGCTTGTTTAATGATGACTCACCACCACCTACTACAAATCAATGACTTTCTAATCTTCATTTATCAGGTGTAAAAGAGATCACTTTTCATAAAAAAGGATAATATTATGTTTAATTAAATATTTTATTTTTCTTTACATACGTCAATTGTGAATGAATAACACGACATAGTTTGTACAAATCGCCTTTTGTAATCCATTATAGATAATGTTATATGAAAATATCAATCTTTTGAATTTAACTGAAGACTTGTAGACCATAAACCACAAGAAACTGAGGATATAGTCATGTTGGATTTCAATTGTTGAGCTGTTAAAACAGACTGTTTCACCGGTATATCTACAGCTTCCACAGATGAATCAAGTCCTAACTGACCGTATCCATTCCAACCGAAACAAAATACGATGCCATCTTCTGTGAGACAAACTGTATGACGACCACCACATGAGATCTAATAGAAAGTATTGAAAAGTTTGCAGGCATGTAAAATTTTAAAACTCTCACACAGCTTAAGCGGTAGATGAAGATCTTAATAAGTTTATTGGCAACCACAACAAAAATTTGTTACTTGCATAACAACTCGAATAATACCAATCGAAGTTCTTATCAATACACTACGTGGACTATAAATGCTTACCAGAAACAACGCATTTATCCGACACTCTTTTTTATATATTAAGCTGCTGTCCAAAATTGATGTATGGGGTTGTGTGACAATATCCGTTTCCCATATTCAAATAGTTGAGCATGACTTTAACTTGGGACCTATTATTTGAAAATCTGGTGCTTAGGCCAATGAGCCACAAATCTTATGTTAAGAGAATGCTAAACAAGAGCATACACAAATATGCGATTGATTAAAAGTTAGTATAAGAATGTTTACCTACATTCGGATATCGACGAAAAATACAATATGATATACTTCAAGTCCAAGTAACACATATTAACAGACATAAGTTAAGACAGAGTTTGTATCGGTCAAGAAAAATGTGACATTCGACCACAAAAACATGAGATTAAGAATCACAAGACAACAAAACAAGCAGGAACAGATATATACTATTATAATTCAGATGACTAACTAAAGCTTATATATATAACAAAACCAATCCAAAAAAGTAAAGCAGTCATTTGTGAAAAGATTCACAAGTACATGAGAGATAACCCAGTAATAATTTATAAAAGTGTTAACATAAGAAAGTAAACAGGTTGGAAATAGAGACCAAATGCAGATCCTATTTGATGAAGACTGCAGCTTACAACAAATACGACAGATAGATCTAACATATACAATATTTACTACCTATAAGATGCTAACTGTCAGATATTACTTTGCTGACAAGTTTTGCAGGCATGACCTGTAGTCAAAAAAGAATACCATCTCATACACCTGGTGGTTAACGAATAGGATGTCCTACTAGAAAGACTGGTAATTCTACCGTTAGTTAATGCGTTTAAAAAGAAAACTAATCTCCACAGAAGAATAGTTTATATGTCTTGTTATTCCTCGAAAACTTCAAAGTAAATCAAAACTTTAAAATCAACCATTCTTAGTACTACAAATGACACTGACGATACAGATGAAACACACTTAATCAATTATTAGAGATGAAGCAACTCATATTCGGTTTTTAATCATTAAATGCTAAAATAAAATCGGTGACGTTGCTTCTTTCATAACCTCTGTTTATATGCAAAAATCTGAGCTTTCTTTAAAATGTTGTGACACATTTTCCCTTCAATTGTCTTATCTTGTGAACAAAAGAATAGTACTGTTGGCAATACCTGAAACGCAAACTGTACTGTTGCCCATGCTATGAAAAATACATATGCTTTAAAAGCATTGAATGGATACTGATTATGTTAACTTGCAAGCGTGGAGACAGAAACTAGGAGACATATGTTTCCAACCAACTGATAACTCTTATCAACGAAGCTGAGATTACTTTCTAACAAATTTCAGAATATATTATATGACTGATTATTTCTACAGTACAAAAGCAGAATGATTAGTGGTGTTCTCAGCTTAAATAAACACCTTGACTCCACAAGTCCCATATAGTTAGTAATGCAACCTTGTTCTCAAATTACACGTTTTCACAGTTTTCTGATTGAAACAAGCAGTTTTAAATTCATAACACTAATAGATATAAGTAATGCGGTAGGAGGTCACAAGAAAGCTATTCATTACCGTATGATTCAGATGGATGCATGTCCCAGTTATCTGGACTATTTCGATGAGCCATACAACTATTTCAGTGACAAGTTATTGACAGATGAAAGTATAAAATAGTCTCTTATTTGTCAGAAGCACTTAGAATGTTTAGTGTTTTAGAACACTGCTTTTGACAGCTTCAATTTCTCCAAATAACTGAATAAACATGATCTGAAATACCATATTAGTTTGTTTATTAGATATATCACACAGTGAAACTATTATTTCACTGTGTGATATATCTAATAAACAAACTAATATGGAATTACTTACTACCAGAGTGCCCAAGTTTTACACATATATTAATATGATCTGAATAAAGAAAAGATGCCGCATAGATTCCCCATTATATGAATTGTGTAGGCCATTATTACTCTATTTTTGCAAGGATATACATGCATGTTAAACAGAACCTTACAGTCCGCTCAAAAATGTACTTAAAACACCTTCAAAGCATTAATTGAAGAGAAACAAGAAACTTTTTCATTAGCACTAGTTTTTGACACTCATCAGATCGATTATTTTGTAACAGTATCATACCAGAGTGAGACAGTGAGATGTTAGAGCTATAACTGAAAATATTAGGATGTGAATTAAGCTTTGAACTCTGTTAGTATCATTAATACATAGTGACAAATTAATTAATAAGAAACTCTTAAAAAAAGTGTTTTCTACCTGGGAAATAGGCAGTTCATCGGGAAAATCTACAGGTGTTGGGACAGCAAGCACAGAAACACAGCTTTGACGTTCAGTTTCACTGATTACCCCCAACTTATTCTTGACTCCAAGTGACTTATGCCCCAACTGACCATGTTCATTCCAACCCCATGTATAAACATCTCCTGTATCTAGAAGAAAAAGCATCTAATTATGCGTTATGACTCACCAGTTAGGCATGCGGAATGCCAATGACCAGTTGAAATCTGAGTAATAGTTAAAATTTGCAAAGCTTCAATTAAAGTTAGTTCTGTCCTGTCAGACAAGTCACCTAAACCCAGTTGACCCCGACTAGAAGTGAAGACATTTGAGTTAAGAAAACAACTTACCCACCTGCCTATACCCTGGCTGAATACTTGTCCTGAAAAAGTTAAACACAACAAAAATCCTAATCCACATGAAATCGATTTTATTTTAACTGAGAAACCAAATGGACGATCAATTGTAGTAATTCCTTCTAATTTAGTGATGGTTAGAAGACAAAGTGTCTCATCTTAAACGGAAGTAAAATGAAATGATAAAACTCTAAATACCTCTTATACAATAAACACTATCGCCATCTGAAGCTAACTGAGTTACATCTGTTATATCACTATAAATTTCAGTCCCAGTGTTCTTCTCAACAGCAGTAATGGATGAAAGTGTTTTCAAAATAATCCATGCATTATTGGAACAAACAGATATGAGTGGTTGATTGAAGCATTTTTCCCGTAACAGACCATACAAGACATATGATGACGATGATCCTGAGTCTTTACTAAAACCATTAGAAAAGAAATTTTGGGTTACTGAGAGAAAATATCGAGCAGTGCCAATCTGAAAAAACCAAAGGGTTATTTGGTTTGAATTCAAAGGTCGATTCCCATCCTCCATTAAAATTACGGTATGCCCCCGAAATCAAGGCTGAATTTTCTGAAGTAATCTTCATTAAAATGGCACCTATGATTGCATGAAGGAAAACAAATTTGTTGTTTAACTCGCATAACACAGTCCAACAGCAGTATGATTGGCTAGAAATAAATATTAATGAAAAATACTCAGAATTGAAGTCATAACAAAACTAAGTAGTGTGAGTCTTAGTGAGTTTTAATAGTTCTGCTCTACGGAACTTCCGTATGCAAGCTGATTACATTCATTGAAAACCGAACACAAAATGATGCAAATTTAATATAGTCCTTTGAACGCGCATGACAATGTAAATCTCCTGTTTAACTTCGAGTATGTGCATGACATCGTCTTACAGTTTGACAATTTATAAGCAACTCAAATTGTTATTGTTCATTTAACAGTAATTGTATGCATGATTGTACTATTGAGGTGAGTACATTCACAAAATAGACAAGAACCAGGACTTGTATGCTAGTGTGACTAGTGAAATCCACAATGGTATTGAAAAAGCAAAAACAGCAAGCCAACCAAAGAAACATTGATTTTGTCGTAAAACTCCCAGAAATGAGTATAAAATTAACGCTTGTGAAGTGGGGCTTACTCAATTCGATGACGCCTAGTGGCTTATGGTGTTTAGTTATTGACATCTTAAGATTGGTACAGCTGCCACACAAGTTTTGCTGTTTTTTTCACAGGACAACAAGGACGTTTATGGAAGTGACAGTTAACATAGTGAATCTGCTGTAAGACTTCAGACTATCTGCATGGAAGCTAATTTTTGACAGCTTAGGAATCCAATCTATATAGAAAGTAAGGGATCGTTTGCATAAAAGACAATCTGTGGATTAGACTTATCTATCCGTGTATTTGGCTTCTGAAAATTATTACGAGTACAACAAAATACTTGCGTATGACATTTGTAGTCACTTATAGCATTTCAAAGTGGCATATGTCGATTCCCATAATATGTGAAGTTGTTACAATGTAAGTTTAGTCGCCAGAGACCGAGCTGACAATGTTTCGAGGCATAATTTCACTATAAACTAATAGTAGGCAGGTATCTCAAGTTGAAAATATCCGGTGACTGTTACTCGTAATTAGTGTCTTAGTAGGACTGTGCGCATCCAGTGAAAACACCATGTAAATAACTTGGAAGTCCCGTGTACAGTGTTTGGGCAAAATTATCTAACCATAAGTGGCTCGGGAGCATAGAATAGATATTGCCAGAGGCTTTTATACCTTTCACTGTTTGCTATGCATGAGACTGTTTGGAAAAGCAGATATTGAGGATTTGACATGACCCTTTGGGATGAATGCCAGTTTTCAGTTAACATCTGTTGGTGTCAGAAATCTGTGTCGTCCGAGTCTTAAAACTACCACAGACGGCTGAATAATAGACGGCAGCTGCAACCGTGATGATGTCTTTGGATCCTTCGAACGCCATAAATATTACCAACGAATGAGCAGAATGTTACTGATCAGAAGGCCAACCTCATTATTTCAAAACTGTAATCCCCCATTTCCCTTGTATTCTTACATAAGTTAGTGACAACTACATCCTGAGGATACATCAATTAACAGTGAATAACCCCACTCAGGGTATACGCATGCACACACTTTTCATATTGTACAGTAAATCTAAACTGATGTCACCCGCCTAAAGAAAGAAAGACAAAAAGCCTCAAAATAACACCTGAGGAGGCGATATTGTTTTGTTTACATCGTAAGGACCTCGGAGAAACTCCATTAAACCATAGTTGATATACAAGTGTCGGTAGACTGCAGAAACCGAGAGCCAAACATCACGCAAACTGCAGAAGGTCTCCAAACATTGAGTACATACGCGTCACCAATCCTTAGGTGCTCAAAGCAATCCGCAACATTTTTTTCCATTTCAGCCAAGGACTTCGCCAACTGCAAGAGCCACGAAGCCTGACAGATAACTTAAAACTCTCATATGGTCATAATGCTACTTGACTAATTCGTACGGCAACAGTAAACAAAGGACACCACAGACCGTACGATACAAATCTTCGAAAAGCGTTAGTAGAACCCTAACCAAACAGTAGTGCCGAAGTTTCAATACCAATATTACAAAGACCAGTCCTCCTAGGCACTACTGTTTATACAGACGAGTGGAGAAGTTATTCGCAACTACCATCATTAGGTTATATTCATCATAAAGTCGATCATTCTTCTCAATCAAGGAATCCTATAAGTGGAACTCAGACAAATCCTATTGGAAGAGTCTGGGCCCATCTAAAAATTTTGCATACTGAAGACCTACTACAGCGGCCATGTATATGCATATATCTACATATATGCACAGAAAATGATAATAATCGCGCTGAAGTTCTGCAGTGCGCCCGAAGTCAATGCTAGCTGGGAACGAACTAATTCCCAGTGATTACCATCAGTTGCAGAGTATTTCGGAGGACATTCGTAAATACTTCAGATTTTGAGAAGATTACGTTTCCTCACGTGGCCTGTTTTCATTTGCATTAATTAGTACAATTGCCACACTATATTTATGATTATCCTAAACCTTAGTAATCTTATTTCTTCTGCTCCCCCATAGAATCGAACCATGGCTAACATCGCAAATTCAAAAACTATTGTTTTCGATAGATATTTGGAAGGGAGGTGCGAACTACATAACGTCACGAACATATCACCTGAACTTGAGGGTGACGAAGCACTTAATAATTCCCGCTCCAAAGTTTATTTGTCCAAAATATATTTTCATTTAGGATTCGTCTAGGCTAAGTTAAACTCCAAGCACCGAAGGAGCTTGACAGTAAACTTCAGTCAGAGAGTTAGTCAAACAGGATAAATAACACTATAATCGTGAATAGAAGATACTAGATGAAGCGTTACTTTATTGGACCAGACATCTGGTACGTCTTAGGTTAGGTTTAGGAAAGATCAAGTTAAGGTTCAGACTACGGACATGTTAGACTTAGGCGAACCTATTCAGGGCGATGTGATGGTTGGTTCCAGTTAGATCAGTGTTAGTTTGGGGATATTCTCGGGCTAGGGTTAAGGTTAGAAGACCAAGATGAATACATATATAGAATGTGGTTTAATTGCACTGTTGACACTGCAAAGCAAAACATAGAGGCATTTTTGTAATGTATCAGAGAAGGGTATTCTGATGAGTATATGTATTTTGGTGCGTAAAAAGCAACTTTTCCACTGGATTGGTGCGTTCCTTATTTCCAGTGCATAAAGTATAAGCCCGCCTTTGTGTGGTGTGACAGATAATTGCTTCTCATGTTGGACTGCGACAGATTATTTTGTATGGCCGAGCGGTGCAACCACAAAACTCTTGACTCCTCTCAGACCTCATTCGCAGGAGATGATGACTGATCGATAAGATGGTACTTGCTTACTTCCATCGTTGTTTTCCAAGAACAAGAACAGAAATAAAATTTTAAGGTATAACTGTTGATTAAATTTCAACCAAAAGCGTTCCTACTCAGAATCTATGATTCAACGAAGACTCATCAGCAGAAATAATGAGAAAACTTCTGTCCCGCTCATTTGAAGGAAACTTCGCGACTGAACTCCGAGTAACTTACTCTACGAAACCTATGATTCGCATGAACGTGAAGGATGAGCTATCACTGTTGGTCTCACCAATGTGTATCTTCCAATTCACCTACTCGTGTCTGAGAGCCATACTTATCCTATGATTTACGGGTAGAATTTCTTTTCGTAACTACAAGAGATCCCTGTTATGAGGTGGATTAAACCTCCTTTGCAATTAGAATTAAGGTTTTGTAGCAGTCACATAAAATTTGTTGCTAATTAAACGTTGCATATAGGTCTGCTTTCCATGGAGAAGAATGGGAGAACGTATTTGTGAGGCGAAATCTCTCATTATTTCATAGCTATCTTTTCAAATTATTATCCAATTGAGATGTGAGCGGAGCGTATATGTCCAGCGGCACATCCCCATTTCTATCTAATTTTTTGCAGTCCTCTCAAGCTGACTCTGCCAACAGGCTTTCATTTCTGATGCTATCTAAACCATGTCACACTCGAATCCACGTGCAACTCGTCTTTTCACACTTCAGTCCTATTCATGCACTCAGCGCCCGCCTCACCATTGATGTCTGCCACATTTTGGAGATCGATTCTGAAGATCCCGGTGACAGTGGTCTCTGAATTACAGGTGATGCGCTTATTCTAAGACGCTGTGGCTTTGGAATTCGGAATATTTGGCGTCGGCAAAGGGACTAAGCGCCAGGCCCAAGCTGCATCCGTTGAATGGATTCCTGTCCACTGTCGTTTATACTCAGTAAGGCTAGAAGGTTATACGAGATTTGATAATAATAAATTTTTTTTTTTTTTTTTTTTTTTTTTTTTTTGGGAAAGATCAGTGAGGGACGCGGTACCTATTCGTCATCTCTGCCTATGCACCTATAGGTTGCAACCTGGATGCATTCGAAGATAAGTTTCGCTTTCGACACAACTTAATTACTAAACACTGTCCTTGGTTGCCAGGACTTATACCAATACACCTGGCAGTCCCCCAATCTAGCCACTTATTTTAGGTGTCTACGACTTACGCTAGCACGCCTAGATACCACCCTGTCAAGTTTCCTACTGTGGATCAATTGGCATGTTTGTTACAGATCCTGTTCGCAGTTGAGGATTATACTAAGCAATCTTTCATCCAAAGATAAAGCAAAAGACCAGATTTGTCGTCCATATACGAGATATATTCAAGTGGTGAAGTATGTTAGCAGTAGTAATCGTGACGAAAACGTGAAACGGACAAGCGGGGCTGTTGACCGTAAGCCTTCAGCTAAACAAGTCGACTTAAACAGTGATGGTCAGCATCCAATGTTGAGTGATGATTGCTGTGGTTAATAATTTTGGGGAATTATTTACTGCCAAAATGCGGAATCTTCAGGTAGTTTTTAAACGGATTTATTGAGAGTTTGGGACACTGTGCAGTGTTTAGGCGGTCTCTAAATCACTTCGCCGTCAACACTGTCAAAGGCCTTGTCACATTCGATAAACCTGAGTCAGGTATATATCTGCCATTCTACGTTCTATTCGATGATGATATAGATAGTTGCAACTTGATCTGTGCATAATTTGTCTTCCTCCAATCCAACCTATCCTGAGCGGAGTTTTGCATCCAGTTCGTCTTTTAATCTAACGTGGATGACGCGGCTTGCTTACCAGTGCTAAGAAGCTCGGGACTTAAACCTAAGTCTTCTTGAGGATAGCTTGCAATTGGACAAGAGTTAGTGATATATTACATTTACTGAAAAGGTATTGCTCTGATGTGGCTGGAAAACGCGAATGATTGTCTTCTGATCTTGAGGTTCACACCTGTACAAGTTCTGCTTGAAATTGGATCTATGTAGTCAACGAAATTTCTCTGTTCCTCTTCAGATAGTTTTAATCAAGCATGTGTTCTTACCGAAAGTATTCTCTATCTCTGGTTTTTGAGATTTGATTTCACCAGTTACACTTAGTGTATGAAATAGTTCGCAGAAGTCCGCTGCTGGAGAACTGTCACGGAGATTGGCAGTGGACTGTAGACTGGCAGCAATCCTCTAAATTATCTCAGAGGTTTCGGATGGGATGCTCAACAGTTATATCACACAACACTTCGACTGGAAAAAAATTACTGCATTGCGGAAAACGTGTTTTCAGAAGAGATGAGTCCTGTGAAATAAGCCTATTTTGCACTGACTAACTGAACATCATGAAGGGATACTAATGTTCCACTTCCTCTTGATTTTGTGGGGACATTAAACGCTTTTGAATATGACTATTCCCTTCACAAAATAGAACAGACGGGTATTGGTCATCTGCTTCATCATGTCATCAACCATGCGTGCTTCTTGAACCGATCTGCTTTTTTCTCTGTAACCAGATAATACCTATTTGGTGAATTGTCAGCTTGGGAAACCTGATCTGCCTAGCCGGTGAATAAAATTCAACCATGACTTCCTTATCAAGTCTCTGTGTGGTAAGTCCAGCTGTCTCGAACTACTGCCAAAGCTTCAGGTGCCACTTCTGTAGCAGCATCTTCCTCACTCGTTCAGATAAACAAGACTTGTTGGTCTACAACGTGATTGCTGTGAAGCCGATCATCCAGAAAGTACTAAGTAAAGTCGAAAACCTCTTCTTTTCCTTATCTTGTACTTTATCAGTCTTATTCTTGTTCTTGTGGGTAGATACTGTTGCTCTCTTATTCGTGTATAGCATAAGTCATAGTGATTGTTAATATGGCTGTTGAAAGTAGCCTTAGAAAAAGCACTAAGAAACCATATTCTGTAGTCACAAGGGCTTCAGCCAGAGGAGGCAATAACCCAGGGACATCAACCCCTTCCCGCATACCGATCCTAAAGACTCGTGTAGGTGTCGCCTGTTCTGATACTACGCCTGCATTGCCACAGTGTAGCACTGAAACGGCAAAGGCAATACCAGGTGGACAGGATACTACACATGCATCCATTGAAAACCAGTGCGTGAAACACAGCAAAACAAAAAGGAAACGCTCGAGACGTCATAAGACCTCGAAAGCATTATCAAGGAAGGGAGACGAATGTCAGGCGTGTAGTGTCATAGTTTCTAAAACTGATTCAGAATTTGAATGTAATTTTTGCAAACGATGAGTGCACTGCCGTTGTGACAAAGGGAATCATACTATGAGTTTATGCGAAATAACCCGTGCTCATGGTTCTGGCATATCTGCCCACTTTGTCGCCCTGGCACAGTCCCACACAGCGTGTCTCCGGATAGCAGAAACAGCACGCCACTTCTGTGTCTCCACACAGTCCATAGAGCGCTTCACCTGTTAACACCACACCACCAAAACTTGGCAAAAACAGTAAGAATACTCCAGCCCAACCGACTGAAAATACCAATCTTCATAAAGGGAAGATTCCCAAGGTTACACTAAGAACATCCGGGGAAGACGGAATTGCCAAAGCACCACTTGCATCCACTAGCAAGTATGGCAGCATAACGAAGACCAGGCAGAACCTGATGAAGTCTTAAGTGGCTGACCCGACAAAAGTGGTCAAGCAGCCAAAAACCAAACCTAGGTCTGAGTTCAGTCGATTGAATTCCCTCATCCTGACTGATGTACCCGTGTGCAATGACATTTTGCTTGAACAGAGGGCTCTGTTTGATCAGGAACAGTGGTCCACACTGTGCAATAGATTATGGCTGGAAATCAATTCAGTGAAATAGTCTAGACTGTACAGCGGTGTTCAGGCACCTCAAGGAAAGCCATCTCCATCAATGGTGACACTGGGCTCTGCCGAAGGGGATGAAAAAACAATACTACTGGCTCAAGTATTGGTTATCGACAGGAGTTCCAGTATAGGAGTGAGAAATATTGGATCATTGGCTAACAGGTAAATGGCGAGGGAGTCACTGGAACTGATGCCTTCTACCTCTATGGTCACACACGGTGTTCCGGAAATGGCAGCCGGCACTATTTGTGAAAAACACATGCATGATGCCCAGCAATGGAGACGGCTGCCATCTCAGATTGCCCTTGGAGCAATCTCGATTTTCCGGCTACGTCGCCCAGCTCATCTCACATTGATTAGCTCCCCGAGGCTGCTAAGTGTGAAATTCAACTCCCAGGAACAGTTGGCTCTAGTACTTCAACGTTGGCACGAGACCAAGGGTACATTGAGAGTGCTCAGCCGAT